GTGATAAATGCATTAATAACAAGCTGATAATAATTAATAAATAATCAACAATTTGCATGCACTTTAAAGCCGTATTTATGGTGGCATAATGAGACCCGCAACTGTGATGTAGAACGCTACACACTAGGGTTACATTTTTCTTTCCTTTTTTTTTTATATTTTATTTTTCGTGTTTACCTTTATTGAAGAAATCCCCTATCCCCTATATATTAATCCAGAACGCGTTGAGCCTACGTGGTTGTTTCTGGTGCTTCGGAATCCTATGTGGCAAAATTACATGCTTGTTATTAGGTTTGGGTAAATTTTAATTTAATTCCAAACAAAAAATAATTAAGTTCGGATTACCATGAATATGTTAATTATTTATGGTCATGTTACATGTATTAATTGCATTTTAATATCATTCCTTATTATAACTATTAAATTGTATATGTATTTTAAAAGTTAATAATTTTTGTATTTTTTATCAGTTTTACACATGTAATATATCAAATTAATCTTCTTTTGATGAGCTTCGATTTAACATACATATTGTATGTATAAAAAAAATAATTTATATTTATCTTTATAACAATAATAAAATTATTTTTAATTAGAAAAATAAAATTATTTATCAACTAATATATTTAAATTTCAAGTAGTTATATGATATAAGTTATAAAAACTAATATAATATAACACATGTAAGTAATAAGTAACACATATCATTCTAAAATATATAGTAATATATTTTTTAAAAATGAAAAACTTAAATCGAGTACATTTTAAGTGTCCAACCGACACCACAAGAACCAGCACAAAGATGTATCCATCCCCATTGGTTATTGGAAATATTTTTTCTATTGATCTATTGGGTCAATTGAGTTAAATTTAGAAAAAAAAAAAAAGAGTTAATGAGAGGAGATTTTACGAAAATTGAGTTTGTATTTAAATAATATTTAAAATATAATGATTAAAATTGATGAAATGTAAAAGTAGGAGATACATTATTAAAAATGATAAGTAGTTGAAATAATATGTTTGGATCAATAATGAATTAAAGGATGTGATGAATGGAGATTATTAATTGATATTGATTAATTTTATTGGAAATATTGAGGAGAGTTCAGTTGTATTAAACTAGAGTAGAATTTTGAATTAAAAAGTTATAAAAAAAGTTATTGGACAAAAAATAACTGGTTTATTTTATTACCAATCGCTGCTTTACAAACTTGTTAATAATTAAATCAAGACATATGACAAAAATAACAACAAAACAAATACAAAAATAACAAGCATTAGCTGATTAATAGATAAAAATTACTAAATCTTTTGTGAGACATACTAATAGTTAGGGAGTCGACCTCTTATAATTTGTGAACATATGCATATTTATAATGTCAAATGTCAGTTATGCTGTTTTTTAAAGTATTATATTTTTTCAAATAAAAATATGCATATTTGTAAGAAAAGTATGTTGATCTAATGGTTAAATGGACATAATGGAAGACATACAGTACAAATTAGCGTCGTGAATATAATCCAACGTAGTTATTATTCTAATCGAGCTGCACGTGAAACAACTCGACCTTGAATGTTTAATTGAACTCATTTATTGAACGAATCGAGTCAACCTCGTTTGCGTACAACTTGTTTATTTTATATGTTTTTACTTTTATGTAAATTTTGAACGATCAGTCGTGTGAAGCATGTTTTTGAGTACACAAACCAATTATGTTCGCGGTCAACTTGTTTTCAATTTTTTAGTTTGTTAAACGAGTCGAACCAAACCAACTCATTTATTAAACGAGCATGAGCTCGAACTCGACTCGAACAATACTCCTAAACGAAGCTGTTAATAATTGGTAACAATCGAGCATGTTCACGAACAATCCATTTGCAATATTAAGTTTGCGTTAAACGAGTAATGCCGAGCTTTAAGTCAATAAGTTGGCTCATCTTAGCGAGCCAATCGAGCTTGCTCATTTAACTAACAAACACGAAGTTGAACTCAATTTGACTCGACTCGCGCTCAATCGAATGGTACCCCCAATGGTAATATTCTCTTCAACCATTTGTTAATTGGGGGTGTCTATATGTACACCCCCTTGTGTGTAAAAAAGGGGTGTACATATAGCATTGCCCTTTGTGTAATTTATTAAAAAGGAGTGTACATATAGCATTGCCCTTGTTAATTTTCTCGAAGGTTGGGGGGCTTTTGAGACATCCCATGTCTTATTATCGTGGATAGGGACAAAAGGGGCAATTTCATTGCTCAACGTACAATCGAGGGGGGGGCAAGAAAGCTGAGTGTCAGTATGGCGTGCTTTCACATAGCAAATTGCTCGTCATTAATCTCTTATTCACCACAAACAATTTCCAATCTCAAGTACACACACACACACACACTTTCAATTATAAAAAAAAGAAAGAAAAATTTCCTCACACCGTAGGAAAATTATTAAGTAAAAAGATGAACAAATTCTTGCCCAATTCATGAAAAGCAGAGGCGAGTAAAAAAAGCTATACATTATACTCTCTTGTTATAGTAAATAAAATTTAAAGAAAAAAAAAATGATGGGTTCTTACCTTTTTACTCTCATCTTTGCTAAAAAATAGGAATAAAGGGGAATTATGGGACGAAAGAAATTCGTCTGCTAGCTCTAGCAAAACTGGTAATTAGGCCAAACAAAGCACATTGTATCTGCAAAGTCTTTGGCTTTTGAAGTGAGTGACCATTTATTTTTATAATTTTTTCTTTTTTTTTTTTGGTACAGGGACCTTCCGTTTTCCGGATTCACATGTGAACCGACTAATCGG